ACAGAAGCTACCTGCTGAGTTATCTTACTTAGATGTTTACATCATTACAACAGAAGCTACCTGCTGAGTTATCTTACTTAGATGTTTACATCATTACAACAGAAGCTACCTGCTGAGTTATCTTACTTAGATGTTTACATTATTACTACAGAAGCTACCTGCTGAGTTATCTTACTTAGATGTTTACATCATTACTACAGAAGCTACCTGCTGAGTTATCTTACTTAGATGTTTACATCATTACTACAGAAGCTACCTGCTGAGTTATCTTACTTAGATGTTTACATCATTACAACAGAAGCTACCTGCTGAGTTATCTTACTTAGATGTTTACATCATTACTACAGATGTTCCAATTAAAAGAAAGTTTTACCTTCTCTAATATTCCAAATTTAGACAAAAAAGAAGAATATAACTTCTCCAAGATACCAGTTAGTTACAAAAGTTATCAAGAGAAGGAAAATGGCAAATAGCTCCACAATGTTAAATTATTCCATGTATAGTCAAGAGAAGGCAAGGTATAACATAAGCAAAACAAAAACATAACTCTTCCAAGATGTAAGATGGTTACAAAACAGAACCTTATAAGAGCAAAGACAGGTACAAATATAGTCAGAATTTGTTCAAGACAGAGATATTTGCAAATGTATTTCTTTTCCCTCTTTTTTTTTTAACATAAATTAGCACGCTAATTGAAAAGTAGCCTCACCTTGGTTTCAACTTCTGGTTGAAACATCTCTTGATGCATTGGCTTAACCACACTCGGTTCTAGTGTATCATTAGAACTTCCTGGTTGTGTAAGAAGCTGCATCACAAAAGAATTTGATGAAAACATTTAGAAATAGATGTCATGTGATCATGTCAGCACAGTAATAAATAACAAAACCTATACCTTAACCGTGGACCGGAGGGACGTCACTCATATCCCTTCATTTTTTTTTCCTTCTCAAATTGAAAATATATATAATCAAATTGAATGAAACTTAGTACAAAGTTACTATACAGTATCTAGTTTAATCTTTAAAAATATAATTTCACTACTGTTTCTATAATCTTATTAAATTGTGAAAATTCCAGTATTTTGTTATGTTTTAAAAAATTAATACTCTTTTCATTTTAGAATGTCAATTTTTTTATTTCATTAACAGCTATTTTCATAATTTATTTTACGTATTGCAGTAGTCACCACGTCCATTTACTGAAAGATTTATCTGTAACCTAGGACCTCATCTTTCAAAATGGCATCAAAATTACCTTTCTCAAGCGAGGTATTGTGATTTTTGCTAACATTTTTCTTGGTTGAGATCAAATTATATCTAATAAAAATGGCTTCTTTCTCAATAAACAATAAGTTATTTTATTTTGAACGTGATATACTTAACAATAATATTCAGTAAATAAGGATTTACGTGTCAGATCATTTTATTGTCAGCAACTGTACTCGTTAAACCTAACTAGGCTTACCTGAAATCTTATATAGAAAAATTTTCTGCAGCTTACAGAAAGATATAATTTATCACAAAAACATTTTCAGGAAGAAATTGAACACCTATATAAACTATATATAAAATTTCCAGATCTGTGGTTTGTTCCAAGTCTGCTTTTCCCAAGGAGCTTCGAGTAGTCACTTACTACAAAAACATATTACAGCTCAAAACCACTTTATATATTCTCCATGGATTATTATATAATCTGCTCTATACAAGCGTACTTAAATGTTGCTTGTAGCTATACTTTCAAAACTATGTGAGATACAAGACATGCATTGTTTCTTAAAAAATATAACCCTATACTTTATGACGACAAACAAATTTTTTAAAATTATTAATGAAAACTGGAACATTTGTTTAATTTTTTGTTTCCAATTACATTAAATGACAAAATATCAATTCTAAAATATTTTTGAATTAAAAATTGTTGACACAAGATAGAATGGTGTGTACCCCATTTGATACTAATGGAATACGTTAGAAAAATTTAAGTTACACAAGCGAGTAACATAGTATCTTAAAATATGTGCACATGTGCAACCTAACATATAACAAGGTTTAGCAAGTCAGAAAATGACAGATGTTAGCTATACTTTAATGCTTACCCATTTAGTAGCAGTAAACATGTTTATGTCCAACGGATCACCAATCAACTCCCCTTCTACTTTAATGCTTACCCATTTAGTAGCAGTAAACATCGTTATGTCCAAAGGATCACCAATCAACTCCCCTTCTACTTTAATGCTTACCCATTTAGTAGCAGTAAACATCGTTATGTCCAAAGGATCACCAATCAACTCCCCTTCTAC